CACGCACTCACCCGCTCCTCATTGGTAAATCTACAGTGCAGTCCTGCCTGTCCACTCACTGAATGCCTCAAAAGTGCTACTCCCATAAATTGTGTCATAATTCTCTTCTAACCTCTCCTGCCATACCATCCCCCTCTGCTCTGCCCCGCCCGCCCCACCCCAACCCCCCCCCTCCGCCAGTGCACCCTTCCGCGCCACCGCCGTTCCGCCTGTCCGCCTCTTACTCGCCCCTCTCTCTCCTCTCTGCAGTCCCTCGCACGGCTCTTCCCCCGCCCATCCCCCTTACCATCGTCCACGTGGCTGGCCCTCTGGCAGCATAGGGAGCACGCGCATGGCAGAGTGCTGCTAGGGGAGACGGGGCACATGCTAACGGCAGCTCTCGTGCACCATACTGCCGTGCATGGGTGTGACGATGATGTGAGTGCGTGCACCTAGAACAAGCTCACGGCACTTGGGCTTGTTCAAGTTGTTTCTGGCTGAGAATTCTTCCCAAGAGAATTTCCTCCGAACAAACAGAAAGAGAAACAGCAACTACTCTCTAATTCCTACGAATGCATTTTTATATGTGCAGTACATTTACAATTCAGACATGCGGCTCGGAATGTCGATTCGGGTGGCCAGCCCCAACATCGAGCCGCATTCCATATTTATACTCACATTTGTACACCTCAGTGCACCCACACACGTGTTACATTTCTATTCCTCCAAGTCTGGAATTTCGCCACCTGTCCCACGCGGAAGTCCCCCCAAGTCAGTCAAGGCACGAAACCTCAGTTTCGCCCTTCTCACGTGGGTCCCACACGTCCTGCTCACTTCCGTCCCTTTGCTGCCCACGTTCGCAGTTCCACGCTGCTGCTGCATGCTTTTGCCTCCCGTGCGCTTCACGCTGCCTCCAGTGCAGCCCCCACTTGTTACAACGGTGCCAATGAGGCAAGATACACTCCAATGGCACGAGGAGCATGGCTGAGGTTGGAGAATGGCTCCGATGAATCTTTTGATGCAGATGTGTTGCGCCAGTGAATGAGGTATTCACGGCCAACCGAAGTGTCACAGTGTGAGAGGATGGTGTCGACCTCATGCAGGTCCGGATGGGCAGAGAACATGGGTGGGCGGGGCTGGAATGGGTGAGAGGGAGTACGGTAAGGTCGAAGAAGGTGAACATGGAAAACAGGGTGTATGGTCATGTGAGGAGGAAGTTGAAGGCAGTAGCTGACCGGTGAGAGAACCTTGGTGATGGGGAATGGTCCAACGAATCTGGGTACGAGCTTGCGAGAAGTTCCAGCATTCAGCAGGTTAGCCGTTGAAAGCAGCACCAAATCACCAACTCTGAAAGTGGTGTGATGCCTATGCTGGTTGGCATAGCGAACTTGGCGCTCTTGTGCAAGCTGAACCTTCCTTCGGGCAAGTTGAAGAATGCGGTGATGAGAAGAGATGAAATCTGCTGCTGTGGGGTTAGAGGAATGAAGAGAGTGAGGGAGGGATGTGACTGAGCATGGTAGCTGTCCAGTAGCTAAGAGAAACGGTGGTTCTCTTGTGGCAATGTTGGGGCTGCTGTTGTAGGCAAACTCCACTGCTGCCAAGTGCTGATCCCAGTCAGTTTGCATGGCATTCACACACGAGCGTAGCGCATCCTCCAGGGTCCTGTTCATGCGCTCTGTCTGACCGTCAGTTTCAGGGTGGTAAGCTGTAGAGAGTCGAATCTGTGTGCCCAGCAGTTGAAACAGTGCAGTCCAGAAGTTGCTAAGGAACCGTGTGTCTCTGTCACTGATTATGGCTGAGGGCAGTCCGTGTAGCCTCACCATCTGTGTGAAAAACAGCTTGGCAGTTTCAGCAGCAGTCACTGTGCCAGTTGTAGGGATGAAGTGAGCCATCTTGGACAGCTTCTCAATCACCACAAGAATGCTGTCAAAGCCTGTAGGGGTGCGGGGTAGGTCTGTGATAAAATCCAGAGAAACACAAGTCCAGGGAGCTGTGGGTTTCTCCAATGATTGCAGCAGACCAGCCGGTGCAGTGGTGCGAGCCTTGTTGACCTGACAGGTAGGGCATGAAGCGACGTACTCAGCTACACTCCGGGACAGTCCAGGCCAGTAGTAGTCACGAGAAATGGCAGCATATGTCTTGTCACTGCCGAAGTGTGACCGGTTGTCATGGTACTCGTGTAGTAGCAGCTGGCGAAGCCTGGAGTCATCAGGTACACACACAGCACCAGAATCTGCACGCGTCCAAAAGGGATTGCTGAAAAGAAAGGATGGGTCATGGGGGGCTTTCTGTTGGTACAGCTGATCACGGTTGTAACCACGGCTGAAACGAGTGATGAAGTTGCGGTCCCATGTAACCACTCCCATGACATTCAGCTCCTCTGCTGCTGGCCGTGACAGAACATCCGCCGGGTTGAAGCGCCCTGGTTTGTACACAATCTGAAGGTTGGGGACGTACTGCTCCAGAAACTGAACCCACCGCGCCTGCCGTGGTGTGATCTGTGACTGTGTTTTCAGGTACTCCAGTGTTCGGTGATCAGTGAAGACTGAAACGGGCTGCATCTCCACATAACAGCGCCACTTCTTCAGTGCATGCACCACAGCAGGTGCCTCTCTCTCATGAATGGGGTATGTGCGCTCTGCAGCAGTGAGCTTCCGTGACTCAAATGCTATTGGCTGCAGCCCAGCTTCCTGCTCCTGGCAGAGAATTGGTCCAAGAGCAACGTCTGATGCATCACACCAAATGAAGTATGGGAGCTCTGGATTCGGTACTGCTAGGGCAGGGGGTGAAGTAAGAGAGGTTTTGAGCTGCTCAAAATCTTGCTGCTGCAATGGTCCCCAACTGAATGATGAATCTTTCCGTAAGAGATCGGTCAGAGGTGCTGCCACTGCTGCAAACCCCTTCACAAACCGCCGGTAGTAGTTAGCTAGCCCCAAGAATGCTTGCACCTCCTTCACTGTACTCGGCTTCTTCCACTGCTTCAGCACTGCTACCTTGCTGTTGTCTACCTCCAGCTTCCCATGTGAAATGACATGACCCAAGAAAGACAGCTTGGTCTTTGCAAACTCACACTTTGAACGCTTGGCATACAATCTGTGCTCACTCAGTCGTGCAAGGACCAGCTCAAGGTGCTTGAGGTATTCCTCACGAGTGCGACTGTAAACCAGTAAATCATCAATGAAAACCACCAGAAGCTTGTCTATGAAATCACTGAAAATGCTCTGCATCATGCCTTGGAAAGTGGCTGGAGCGTTGGTGAGACCAAAGGGCAACACTCGAAACTCATAGAGACCGTACCGTGTTCAGAATGCTGTTTTTGGGATGTCCTCACTCTGAATCCGCACCTGATGATACCCCGAACACAGATCCAGCTTCGAGAAGTACCGTGCCTCACCAACTTGCTCAAATAGCTCATCTATCCGCGGCAGTGGGTATCGGTTCTTCACTGTTATCTTGTTCAGCCCGCGGTAATCTACACACATCCGCAGAGAACCATCCTTTTTCCACACGAACAGCACCGGAGAAGCATACGGGGAAGAACTAGGCTGAATGAACTCCTTAGCTAACAGGTCCTCTAACTGCTTCTTCAGCTCCTTCAACTCCATTGCACTCATCTTGTAGGTCGGTCTAACTGGTGGGGTGGATCCAGGAATCAGCTCTACCCTATGATCTGCTTAGGAGGAAGTCCAGCCGGTAGGTCCTCCGGAAACACCCCTGAAATTTTTTCCAGCAGCTTCTCTACACCCCGTGTTAACTCCTCATCCTCATGTGATGCTGAAACCTTTGGTGTTACTGCGTCGGGTGATGTAGGCTGGACCTCTGTGATGAGACCTAGAAAAACCGCTTCCTCCCCCCGAATGGCCTTACCAAACTGCTTCGCACTAATCAGCTGCAAGGTCATCCCCTCCTGCTGCTGCACCACTGGTAGGCGAACAAACCTCCCCCCAAACAGCACCTTCACCTCCCTGGTTCTCCAATCCACCTGAGGGTTCACTGCTGCCAACCAGTTCCTGCCCAAGATGATGTCATGACCGTCAAGCCAGATCTGTTGGAAAGGGATTTTTCCATGAAACTCCCCTATGTTGCAGTTGACCGGGTACAACTCAGGTCCACAGCTCCTCACTACACCATCTGCCATGCGCACCGTTTTCTCCATTGTACCGCTCTGCACAGGTAACTTCAATTCATGCTTAAACTTGTCTAGCGCTTCAGCCGTTGAAAGGTCTGAAATTTCGGTGGAGATATCACGAAATTCAGCGATGTAATCTGCTACAGAAGTACGCTGCCGCAGATTTGCAAGTCGGTCACGCGCCCTTGCCATCGCGTTGATAGGTTCGTATGACGCAACGAGAGCTTCCTTGAATTGCTGCCAGGTTTGGATAGCACGTCGCACCAATTGCCACCATGCAACCGCAGAGCCTTGAAGTAGGGTTCCAGCAAACGGCGCCCACTCTTCACCAGCCACATGGCTCAAGCGTAGATATTTCTTCCACTAGAAAGAGCCATCGTCGAACCACCGGTTGTCCTTTATCTGGAAGAAAGGTATCCGGCATCGATGCTCTTACATGGGAAAGACATCCCACTCCGCTTCCCGGAGCTGTAGCTACGCTTTGCTGTGCAGCTGCGTTCTGCAGGGCAGCCTGCACCTCCTTAGCTACTAACTCTCGAACCGCGGCATCACGCTCTGAATCGGCCATGGTGCAAGAATCTCCCAGCAGCAACTCACGAGGAAAAAACAGGCTCTGAGACCAAGTGGAACAAGCTCACGGCACTTGGGCTCCTCCTTCACATATCCTCGCCTCCCCCCCTCCTTCCTCACCAGCTGTGTTTCACTACATACTGACACACTCATCATCAGCAACCCCTTTTGAGCTAAACCCAACTCTCAACCCCCCCTCTCTCTCCAATGCGTCCTCCCAAACCACCCCCAACCCCCCCCCCCCCCCCCCCCCACCCCCACCAGCTGCTCGTCCCTACAGACCGGCACGCTCATCAGCAGCCCCTTCTCAGTGGACGGTCTCATGGGCTTTACTTCTTGCACCCAACCCCACCCCTCGTTCCCCACCCCTCTTTGCCCACCCCTCTTTGCCCACCCCTCTTTGCCCAGCCCCTCTTGTCCTCCCCACTTCTTCTCCCTGCCTGTTTCTCAGTTTCCACCCGAACCTGCCAGCAATACCACCCTCTTTGACTCGGTCTTTCCGAACCTCTTCAACAGCTTCGGCAACACGACCTGGGCCGTGCCGCCCACCAACTACCTCTTCTTTGGGGTGAGTCCATTCCATCCATTCCATTCCATTCCTATAGGAATGAAACCTGGGAGTAGGTGTCTGTGTGCTCCTTCCTTCCTCTGCATTTCAGGAAATTCAGGGCAAACACGCAGAGTGAAGCAAAAGAGATGTGTGTGCAACTATTATTCTCTTAACTGCTCAGCAGCTAAGCTTCCTCCACCGCTTGCCCTTCCTCCGTATGTACCTATTCATTCCCTCACCCACGCCGTCCCATCCACCAACACGCTTCCACAATGCTTGCCTTATCCCCTCACCGTTTTGTCTTCCTCTCTCTCCACCTTTTCCTTGTCTTCCGTTTCCCTTCCCCAACCCGTCCCTCCTTTTATCCTCCTCCCCCCCTTCCCCTTCCCCCTCCCTTTCCCCCCACTCTCCACCTCACCCCCTTCCCTTCCCTCTGTAGGGTATGGACCCCACCTCCAGTATGGAGCTGCTGTGCCTCGCTGCACTCCCCAACATTCCCTCCTCTCGTCGGCCCGCCATCATTGGAGGTGCGCACTACGGGAACCAAAGTCAGTTGGCCATTAATGGCCATGCTTCTCTGTCTGTTCCCTTCCCACCCACCGTACCTTGTGCCTCTCATGGTTTATTGTTTTCCCTGTTGTTTTCCCTGCCAAAACTTGAGCTTAGAATCCATGAATTAGTAATGAGCTTAAGGCTCTTTAAATACATCGGAAATGGGCAAGGTAAGGATGGGGAGAGAATCGGGGGCAATCCTAGGGGATTAGGGGTAATCCCAAGGCAATCCCCAATTGGTGGGTTGGAGATTGCTTAGAGATTACATTTAAGTTTGGTTGGGATGTGGGTGTACACCCAACCAAACACAATATGCACACTACACTAGGATATAAAAGTGCGAGTACAATATGTGAGATTGAGGGCTAACACTAACATTCCCCTGCTCTATTCATATCCTCATCGCGTATTTCTGACGTCATTGGAGGTACACACTCCGTTTGAGTTACTTTCAATCACCAGCATGTGATCATGTAACCTTCTTACCTTGTTTCTGTCATGGGTGTATGGGTGCCTGGGTGACATCCGCCATTCCCCCCCGCCCCCCTCTCCAACTCACATCTGCCAGTGTACTTCCATCACTAGACTCTTGACCCTATCCTCCCTCCTTCATGCCTCATACCTCCCCAATTGACAATCCTGCTCCTTCCCTCCTCTCCTCCACTCCCATGAATCATACCCGACTCTGGCACCCACCCACCCACTCCTTATCACACACAATCAGAGTTTTGGCTTCAGGACTTCTACATTCTCATGGACGAGCATGCCTCCCTATATTCTACGGTGCTCCTTCCTTCCCATTCTCTATCCTTCTTTAACCCTCACCTCTCTCCACCCCACACAACACCACCAAAGTCATGGCTGCAGAATTTCTACATCCTCATTGACGAAGAGCGAGGGATGTTTGGCTGGCACCCCCTCAAATGTGAGTCATGCCATCCCCTCATAAGTCATTTCCTCCTTTGCTCAGTTGGCTATTGCTGTCTTTGCATTGTGGAGTATTTTCTCGTCATTCTCTCTGTCTGTGTCCGTCTCTATCTTTTCTTTTCAACCCACACATGCAGGCTCTACGGGCCAGGAGCTTTTCCAAACACCACTTCCGCAAGGTGCTGCTTTCACCTCTCCTGCCTTAGCGCTTCCTGTTGTCCCCCTCACCTGTCTTTCCTCTTTGCGTCACAACCCATGAAGGTGATTCCACTTTCCACACATGCGGTTACCACCACCGCCGCGCACTGAGCTGGGATACCAGGCCTCAGTTCACACACTCAGGACTTAGTATCTAGTAGCTGTTTCCTTGGCATTCTACTACCTCTTCGTTGTGATCCCCCTCTGTCCCTGTAGACCTTATGTTCTTCCCTCTCCCATCCATTCCTCCTCCTCCCCCCACACCACCCCCCCGCAACCTCCACCCCCCTATCCATTCCCTGTACTTTCGGCTCCCCCACCTCCCTGCTCTCCATCCTCATGGTACCGTCATCTCAGAGGGTAACCCCGCGCATGCCACACCCAACACCACAGCACCCAGCCGCGGCCATGGGCCAGGTGAGTCACTTTTGAGAATTATCAGTTATTCCATTATAGCCAGGTAACCCTTCGAGTCCGACTCAAGGCTCAGAACGTACTCTGTGCGCAACCTGGGTGCTCAGCTTCTGAGAAACACATGGACGTGTTTTTTTCTGGGCCGGAGAGGAGGAAGGGAAAGCAGAGGAGAGAGCGCATATTGAGAAAACTGAAATGAGAATGAATGAACTATGAAAGAAGTGAGTACAAGTACTAACCCTAATTGGGTTGTACCCCCTATGGGATACCCCACTATAGCCTACACAAAATGTATAAGCTACAATATTCTGACACACCCCCATAGGCAAAGTGGGGGAGAACAAGGGGTCACAAGACCAGTCAAGCAAAGCAAAGCAAGCTCAGGGTGGATCTCAAAGTCACCACACAGTCCGAGCACAAGAGCAAGGCCACAAGGCCAGTTCACATGCAAGAGTACACATATATATAAAGCTAGACAAGCAAGAGCACGCATATGTATATGTAACAGTACAAGCAATGTCAAGAGGTGAGCAAGTGTGGCAAGACAGGCACAAGACCCAGCTGAGTGCAGAAGCGCAGATGATCACAAGGCGGAAGTGCCTTGGTGAAGACATCAGTAGTGTTGGCCTCAGAGGCCACGTACGCAAGCCGCTACTGACCACGCTGCTGCAGCTCACGAGCAAGGAAGTAGCGGAGAGCAATGTGCTTTGTTCTGTGCTCCAGTCTCTGCTCTCGACACAAGGCCAGCATGGCCTTGTTGTCGACGTACAGAACTGGAGGAGAACAAGGTGGCTCTCCGAGGTCAGTCAGCAGGTAGGTGACCCAGCGAAGCTCCTATGCAGCCATGGCCCCAGCGTAGATCTCAGCCTCACAACTGGAGCCGAGAACAGAAGACGAGCGAGTAGCCCGCCACGAAACAAAGCCGGAACCAAGGCTGAAGGTGTAACCCTGTGACGACCTCTGGGTAGCCTGATCGTCAGCCCAAGAAGCGTCTGCGTGCCCAGTGAGGACCACCGGACTCCGCCCTCCAAGCACTAGCCCCATGCCCGACGTACCGCACAAGTAGCGCAACACCCTCTTCGCTGCAGCCATGTGCTCTGGTCAGTGTCTCCCAGGAGCAACATAGCGTGCAAGAATGCTAAGATGGTATGCAAGGTCAGGTCGTGTGCAGGTCATCAGGTACATGAGGAAGCGAACAAGCTCTGGATACGGGCCACTCGACTCTACGAACTCATCCGAAGGCAGAGCTGAGAGTGAGTGGCGAGTAGGCAGAGGAGTGGCCTGAGGCGAGGAGTACGTGAAGCCGAAGCGCTGAAGGACCTGCTGCACCATGTGTGACTGAGTCAGGGTAATGGTGCGGCGTGCTCTGTCACGGGTGATCTGCAAGCCAAGGTAGCTGCAAAGTTCACCCAGGTCTGTGCACATGTGTCTCTTCTGCAGCTCCGACTTCACGTAGGCGAGTCCAGCAGTGTCCGCTGTGGCAAAGACCAAGTCGTCGACATACACGAGGATGTAGAACGGCGGCAGAGAGGTGTCCGTGCGCAGAAACAGCGATGGGTCGGCAGTAGAAGGAGCAAACCCAAGAGCCGAAAGCGTAGTCCTCAGTGTGTCGTGCCACTCACGGGGCGCCTGGCGGAGACCGTAGACTGGACGCCGAAGACTCGACTGGGTACCAAAGGGGAACGACCCAGTGAAGCCAGGTGGGCGGCGCAGCCAGATCTCCTCGTGCAGGCTGCCCTGCAAGAATGATGTGCTGAAGTCAAGAGAGTGCAGCTCGTAGTCACGGTGAGCAGCAACGTGCAGCAGTACCTGAAGAGTGGTCATCTTCGGGGTGGGAGAGAAGGTCTGAAAGTAGTCAACTCCTTGCCGCAGACTGAAGCCACGAGCCACGTAACGTGCCTTGAAGACAGGCGGAGAACCCGGCGGCCGCTTCACCCTGAAGATCCACATGCCACTGACGATGTTCGCCCCAGGCGGGGGAACCTCGTCAACGTAGGTGCCTGTGTACTTCCAGGAAGCCATCTCTGTGTCCATAGCTGCCTGCCACTGAGAAGAGTAGGGACACTCTATCGCCTCCGCATAAGAGCGCGGAGTCGGGATGTCAAGTGCATCCGGGTCTCCCTCATGGGTAAGCAGTACAGACACGAGATGAGGTGAAGCAGCAGCCAGACACTGGAAATCCTCATGCCTGTCCTCAAGGACGTCCGTGCCAAGGGCACACTCGCCCCCGACGGACGGAGGACAGACAGACTCAGACTCGGCGACAAGACTAGAAGCGTAGTCTAGGCAACAGCGAGCAGCAAAGTCGACGAGCTCAGCAACTAGGGCAGACGCAGCAGTGGACTCAAAGGAAGGGTCAATGACGACAATAGCAAGGAGACGCGTGAAAGTAGGACTGGCAGCACGAATAGAGTCCGACTCCGGGTCGGCAAGAGCAGGAAGAGAGGACTCAGGAGGAGAAGGCAAAGGGGCACGCAGAGGAGTAGTGGATGGACGCAGAGACATCCGGTGCGTGCCAGGGACAAGAGGAGGACGCTGAGGCGAACCACGACCACTAGTGCGAGCAGCACGGACAGGCGACGCAGGGCGAGATGCAGGCTCACGACGCTCAGCAAGACCTCTAGTAGGACCAGTGTAGGGAGAAGGAGCAGGCAGCGGGGAGGCCGGCTGTAACTGTAACTGTGACGGGACGGGCTGTGGACACTCTAAGGGAGGAGGAGGACCAGTAGAAGGCGGAAGACCAAGAACCTGCTGAAGGAGCGGAACGAAGTACGGTCGAGGCCGCGCGGCGGCTCCAGACACAGCACGGACAACACCAGTACCCCCAGCAGGAGCACCAGCTCCAGCAGTACCTCCAGCTCCAGTACCCGCAGCAGCTCGAGTAGCTCCAGGACATCCAGCAGCACCAACAGCACCCCCAGCAGGACCGCTAGCAGTAGTCTCAGCGCCAACAGCCTCAGCAGCACCAGCTCCAGTCGAACCCGCAGGCCCAGCAGCTACAGTACTCCTAGTACGAGCACCTCCGGGACCCGCGACACCAGCACCCTCAGTAGCCGAAGAACATCCAGCTCCAGCCGCACGGCTCCAGCGCCGGTCAAACCACTCTCGCAGCTCCTGTGGAGAGAGTGGCTCCCGTCGAGACGAAGCACTCGGAGAACCTCCAGGCGTAGCACCTCCAAGCTCAGCACCCGCAGGCTCAGCACCCCCACGCGTAGCACTCTCAGGCACAGCACCCCCAGGCTCAGCACCCCCAGGCGTAGCACCCGCAAGCTCAGTACCCCCAGGCTCAGCACCCCCAGGCTCAGCACCCCCAAGCTCAGCACCCACAGTCTCAGCACCCCCAGGCTCAGCACCCCCAGGCTCAGTACCCACACGCTCAGCACCCCCAGGCTCAGCACCCTGAGCAGCACCAGAGTCACCAGTAACCTCGACAGGCTCGACTGCGTCTACCTGGGACACACCTGAAGGGGGGGGACCCTGAGGGGGGAGGGGGTCTACCGGGGGGGGACCTGGTACAAGGAAGAGCGGTGGCGGGGGGAGGGACGGAGTGCGGTAGGGGAAGAGGCGGTAGTAGGGTACCGACTCGTCAAACGTGACGTCCTGAGAGGACACAACACGGCGAGAGGTGGGGTGGTAGAACTGCCACCCGGGCGCGTCAGGGGGGAACCCCAGGAAGACGCAGGGAGCAGCACGAGGGGACAGCTTGTCCGCAGACAAGTCGCGAACAAACGCGCGAGATCCCTAAACACGGAACACTGACGCATCGCCAACCTTCCCCGTCCACAGCAAAGCTGGGGAGGTGTCCGGCCTGGAGACCCTGGGGTGAAGGTTGATCTGATGCGCCGCATACCTCACCACAAACGGCCACATAAAATGGGGGGCAGCCGCTTGCATCATGGACGTACGAGCTACGTCCATGACCATGCCAATGCGGCGCTCAGCAATCCCATTTAGCTGCGGAGAGTCCGGAAGCATGAAGGTCTGAAGGATTTCTCGTGCACGACAGTAGGCTCTCAGAAGGCCAGAGAAAAACTCTCCGCCTCTGTCAAAGTGCAGACGCAGAACAGGAAAGTCCCAGCCGAAGCTCTGCCTGAGCTGGAGACGAGCTGCGTGGATCCAGTCGATCAACACCTCAGTGACATCACCCTTGCTGCGCAAGGGGAAGACTGTGGTGTAACGCGAGTAGTCGTCAACCACCAGTAGGAAGTAGCGCTCGTGACCCTGCCCAAGGACGCGGGCTGGGCCCCACACGTCCATGTGAAGCGTCTGCAGCGGGGCCTCTGTCGGAGGAAACTGGGAGGAGTGAGGGGTGGCCCGCTGTCGCCCCTCGACACAGGGGACACAGGTGGGGCCAGGCCCCTAAGGAAGGGGAGGGAGGGACCGGGTAAGACCAGAAACAAGGAAACGGGAGGCCATGCCTCTGAGACGAAGCAGAGAGGGGTGACCAAGGCGGTGGTGCCAGAGGAGAGTCTCGTGAGACAGGAGACGACTACGAACACGGGGCAGACTCAGGACCAGACCTGGACGCTGCAGCAAACACCTGACCTGACGCAGCTACCCGACGAGACGCAGTGACAGGAGGAGACGCAGTGGTCAGTGTGTACAGGCTCGACCCCGGCTGACGTGTAAACGTGGCCAAGTGTCGGC